CCCCCGGGCCCGGCGGGGGCCCAGCACGCGGCCTCCGGCGGGGGTGCGGCTCCTGCATCGGGACAGCTGCGAGGCGGGGGGTCAGGGTGGGATCGCTGCCCCTCACTCTCGACACGTAGTCTCCGCCCCCCGCAACCCCCGCCCTGGAACCCCTCAGGATCAGCGCCGGGGCTCCCCAGGCAGCGCCAAGGGAGGAAAAGAAGCCCGACCCCAACCTCCGTCACGTAACTCCACAGAGCCCAAGCGTCCGAGGGTCCCAGGCGGGGAACCGAACCGGGTACCTGGAGGGCGTTCCCTGGCCGAGTGACGTTGCCAGGCCCCGCCCCTCCCCCGTTACTGAGAGACACCGCGCCCCGCCCCCTTCCCTCAGCTCCGCTCTGCCGCGGACACGTCACCAACGGCGGTCGCCAAACGCGGCGGCGTCAGTTGTCGCAAGAATGGGACTGGCGCTTTACGGCGGCACCTGGAAACCCTCATCCCTTCCCCAGGCAGCCTTCCGCGCATGTGCAATGAAGGCGGGGGGGGTGCTCCCTGGCGGCAGAGTCCCGCAAGGAGAAAGCCCGGCAGCGGGGGGCAGTGGTTAGAGTGGGGCGGAGCCCGGACGCCTGGGTTCTCTCCTGCCAGTGCCCCTCACTCCTGGCTTGCCCCCCCGGTGCCCCTCACTCCAGCCCCGGTGCTCGGCGCTGTAGAGCTTTAAACCGCGAGGGAGGTGCCGGCACCTGCTGGGGCGGGGCGGGGCGGCAGCAGGAAGCTCGCAGCTTGCCCCGAGCTCAGGCACCAGGAAGCGGCGGGACCCCAGCGGGGTCGGTGAGCGGGGGCTGGGCCAGGGGACCGGGGACCCAGGTGTCCGAGCCGCTCGGAGTTGAGGGAAGAACCCGGGCGCCCCCCATGACTACCGCCCCCCGTGAGCTCCCAGATCTGTGGAGGGACCCAGGCGTCCGAGCTCCCCCCCACCCAAAAGGGAAGTCCGAGGCTCAACGGCCCCACCGCAAGTGGGATGTGGCAGTTGCCCGGTGCTCTCGCTCCCGACCTGCAGCTCCCCTCCTGACCCGGCGCCCCCTCCCTGCCTGATGCCCCTCGCTCCAGGACCTGTTGGGACATGGC